GGGTTGGGGAACCCACTAAGTAAAAGGACATTTTTTTTTTTTTTTTTTTTTTTAGAAAAAAAAAAAAAAAAAAAAAAGGAAAAGAAGAAGAGTAAAAAACAGGATATGTAATTTTGGGCGTTTAATAAATGGATTCAGAATCCACGCTATTTATTTATTTATATCTTCTTTCTTTCTATATGTTTCTTAACACATTATCATGCCAATAAGTCCCCTTTATTTATTTTTTTAAGTTCAAACTTTTAAGGTTTAGTTTGGTAGTGCTGTAGATTTTAGAAAAATTACTTTTAGCTGTGCTGAAAGAAGAAGCAACTGTTACAAAAAACAATTAAGTGTTTAGTAAACTATAATTATAGTAGTTCTGTTGGTTCCAAAATCAGTATAATAACGTTTGGTAAATTATGAGGTTTAATTATTATGGACAGTTAAAAATTACGACTCTATTATATTATACAGTTCTGTTGGTTCCAAAATCAGTATAATAACGTTTGGTAAATTATGAGGTTTATTATTATATAATATATAATATAATTATGATATAAAATATGATAATATTATTAAAATAATAACTACAATACAACTTTTTTAATGTAATTATTAAAATTTTTGCATCTTTTAATTATTTAAAAAATTAAAAGTTTACTTTTATAATTTTCAAAGTTCAATGATTATGAAAAAAAGTAGAATTAACATTTTAAATAGTATTATGCATTAAAGTAAAAATGAAAATAACATACTATACTACACTTTTTTATGCTAAATATACAATTGGTATTAACATTTACATTAGAGATGATTTTAGAGATCGGGTCCGAAATGATATGGGTAAAAATTGGGTAGAAGAGGGATACTATTGTAGGTTTAGTTAGTAATAGTTTAATTTTTAACTGAAAAAAACTTTACTTCGCTGAAAAAAGAAGAGGGATACTTGTCTCTTAATACCCTTCTACGATATCATAGCCAGTTTAACTACTTCGTTGAACGACTGAGCCCTTGACATGCTCACATCTTTGTGGATAGCTACTTTCAAACCCTTAATGAAGAAGTTCATATTTTTCACGTCATTACCTACTATCCATAGAACAAATCTTGAAAGTCCTTCAAATTTAGTGACATAGTCATCAACAGTCATAGTACCATGTGTTAATTTCACAAACTCAGCCACTTTACTTTTCTTTACTTCCTCAGTGAAGTACTTGTTGTAAAACAGTTCTTTGAAACCATTCCAAGTAAGGTTGGTAGCAGCTAGAGTCAACTTAATAGATGCCCACTAATACCTAGCATTATTCTTTAGCAATTGAATAGCATAGGAAACTCGTTGAGCATCTTCCATAACCATGTAGTCAAAGATACTTTCTATAGAATTGATCCACTCTTCAGCAATTAGTGGATCAGGTCCACCATGGAAATCATTAGGATGTTGCTTCCTAAAGCGCTCATAAATAAGTTCTAAATTATCTTGTCTTTGCTATTGAGGGGGAGGTGGAGGCTGATTTGCATGCTGGGCTTCTTGTTGTGCTATCATGTTATGAAACTGCTCTGCTTGTTTATGAAACTGTTGAGCTTGCATTTGCATTTGTTGTCTCATAAACTCATTTTGTTGTCTCTGTTGATAAGCCTGTTGCTAAAATAATGTAGTTAATCCAACAAACATTTTAGCTATGTCGACGTTCGTGGGATCTCTAGCATATCTTTTAGGAGGCATTCTGCTATAACACTCATTTCTAACCTTTAGGTTTAAGCCAACAATAATAAATATACTTCCATGTAAATGCAATATAAAACATAAAGATATTATTCTATACATTGGAAATCATAAACATTACAGATTGGCTGAGCTTCTTATCCAACAATTTGTCTATATGTACTTCACTGTCTTTAGAAACATTAAACGCTGGGCTCTAATACCAAAACTGTAACGCCCTCAACGCTAAACCGGTCTAAGGCCGAATTTAGTGAGGTGGTGCTACTTAAACATACTTTCTATACTTAAAACAATGTCATTTTTAAGATGCAGAAACTTGTGTTTGATTTTATCACAAAATTTTCGTAAAGGTTTTGAACAAAATGAGTCAGTGTGTAAAATGATTACAACCACAAATCTTAGGCATTAAACAGTTATTCAAAAGCGACATAGTAACAAAAAAAAACATTTTGAGCCAATCTATTGTTTGGAAGTACATATAAGCAAGATGCTAGATGTACGACTTGGAGTACTCAGCCAACCTTGGAAATCATTTTTTTTTTTTTTTACTTTTCGGTAACAACAACATCATCTGTATCACAAGGTAAAACTAATGAGCAAAAACTCAGTAAGTAGATTTCAAATAAAGTAAGTATCTAAAATCTTCGTGCCTAAAATCTCTTTGTTAAACATTGTTCATAAACTTTCATACTTATTCTTAGTTTAGGTATGATACAGAACTTCGGTTCCAAGTAAGGCTTTCTATATAGGACCTTCTCTAATTTTGGCCAATTCTCTTCTTTTAAACACTAAGCGGGATTTTTAGAATCTCTTTCTCTTGTGATCACCAAGAGACTTCCCACTAGCATTTTTCTCTAGTTGACTCAAAGAGACAATTACTCTAATTTGGGGCACGGGTCCCTCGCACCCTTGCTTACCCAGCCTCTCATCCATATACCATACCATAAAATCTCTTAAAACATAATAAGCAAATATCATAATCTCTTTTAAAATAATTAATCATGAATACTTTTTGAACATAATCATATAAGAATCTTATAAGAGAATAAACTTGCATAATCATAATTCTGAACAAGTTATTTCGTCAAATAGGTCTTGTGATGCAGTTTTGAAAACGCTTTAACTCTACTTACCTGAATTTCGATCACCACTTTGTAAGCACAAACTAGCTAGTTGTGGGGAGCCTTCAATGTGCTAATTAACCTTTAAAAATCATAGCTTTCAAAAATCACATTCATATCATCATTTAACAAAACACATAACTGCGCATTGTTATGAAAATATTCATAACAAATTCATCAAACCTCAAAATATTATGAGACTAGTGGTCAATAAAAGTAGACTCAAAATCCTCTTTTTAGAACTAGTACATGATAGGTTTCAGATTTTTCAAACTAACCAAAAACAGCCTGAAATCCGGATTGAAGTATAATCTCATTAGGAAAATGACAGCTTTATAGCTAAACTTATAAAATTCATAACTAAATGTAAAAAAATCTATTTAGAGTGATTCAAAAACTCACGTAAAGCTTGAGATGTATACTTTAGTATAAAAATATAAGATCAGTCAAAATTATAAGTATATGTAGCACGAAAATAGAATCTATATAGGCTGTACACAAGACTTATATTTGAACATTTCTTCAAATACCTAGCATGCATATCTTAATCTTCAAAAACCACTCTCAAATACATGAATCATCATCCTAATAAGAGTTTATCTTCAAATAATCATCAATAATATCAAGCTAAAATCATTAATTTCACCCATAAACTAATATTTGAACCAAAACCTCAAGAAACTCATTTTTAAGAGTCTACAACCAACATGCATGATAAGCCACATCAAAAATCCGAATTTGAAGTAGGATTTCAACATCTTAATCTCTAAAATCTTAAGGGTTGTTCTTTTAGAGTGTAATTTAAGTGTAACTTGAGTGTAATTTTTGAGTTGAATTTGAGTTATAACTTGAGTTGAAGTTGTAACTTGAATAAAGTTTAGTAAAGTTGAATAAAGTTGAAAGTTAAAAAAACGTGAACTTGAATAAAGTTATAACTTGAGTTTAAACTTTTTCTGAGTTTTGTTGCAAAAGAACAACCCCTTAGTTTCTAACATAAGAAAGAAGTTACCTCAAAGAAAAACGTGTTCCCAAGTGAATAGAAGCTCAAAATTTTGGTGGTTATTTTTGGTTCTAGGTTGAAAACGAGTTGAAATGGGCTGGTTGAGTTTTTAGCTCATTCTCTCTTGAAATCCTAGGTTTGATTCTGAGTTTTGGGTGAGAAAAGGAGTGAGAAGAGAGAAGAAAATCCTATGGTCGGAGTTCTAGGGTTTAGAAAATCCTCTATGGTCGGATTTCTAGGGTTTTTTTTTTTTTTTGTGTGAAATAGACCCAAAAATGAAGTCTAAAAAGTAAAGTAACCTTATAGTAGGAAAAGTGTCTAGGTTTTTCTAAGCCTCTAATAGTTGTCCTAACCTCATAAAATCAGCTCTAAACTTTCTATTTTTCTTCTTCAATTAGGTGCCTAAAGATCACTCAATTTGCTAACATAGCCTTCTCTCACAAAAAGTCAAAATAGCAACTAAGTCTTCAACACATTTACATAAAACCATATAATAAAAATATAAAATAATAATTCATCATTAAATCAATCATAATAGAGGTAAAATTGTTGGGAATAGTGTCCTAGAAGCATGAGATGTAAAAGGATATTTATTATTTATTTAATAAAAGAGTTTATTCATCATTTTATGTGCATATATTTATGAATATTTTATGAATATCAAATAAAATTCCTTGATTATTTATGTAACCTTAAACATGGTATATAAGTGTTGTATACGAGAGGATAATGTTTAAGGATAATAATCAAAAGTAATTGTTCATAATGAATTTAATTAAAGTTCAGAATCTTTAATTAAAAAACATTATAAATACATGTCATTCCCATTTAGAATGGAACGGTGTTATCCACACTGTTAATATGGTGAGATATTGAATGAGTGTATTTCGCATAATGAGATTATGTGGAACAAAATAATAATTTCCGTTAAGCATAGAAATTCTAATTGAGTCTACCGATGGTCATATATAGGATGATCTTAATCCTGAGTTCTTAACAAACTCTTATTTATGGATT